GGGGCAGAATAACAGTGTACAAAACAAAATTCCATCAAAGACAGTTTTATTTGATTCATCATAAATCAGCTCTCATTAAATCGTATTTTTGTAGGCCTACGTTAATAAATGATGTCCGGTACTCGGTACAAATCTCATTCTAGAGGCGGTCAAGGTTCACATGGTGGTCGTGGTTTCCGTGTCGCTGGTAGACAGACGTACAAGTACTCGTCAATAGGAAGGCAGGTTGAATTGGATTATTATATTTAATTTTATTTTCCATTTCATTCATTAGGCTTTCATTTATGAAAATAAATTAAGCCTTGATAGACAAGTCATATATAATTCAATTGGTATTATTTCATCTTTTTCTTTTACTGCTTTAATAACTCACTGAAAGTGATAATTCTTATGTAAGCTATAGTACATTTATTAAGATCGTAAGACTTTCCAATTATGAAGATCAATCAATGAAGACATTTTTTTTACTTTTCAATAATCACAACTGTTCCAACTAATAAGTGCATAATGACTAGGAAAGTCCAAGTCTATACCTTACTTTACTTTTATATACACAGAATTTTAAAATTGAAAGTATTAACTCCAAAGTACAATTTCATTCCATTGCACATCATTGGGTGATTTAAAAAAAAAAAACAAGTTTCTAACATAACATAAAACTTTTCCCAACATAATTCTATCTCCTTGCATTTAAATAGCAAATGATTTTCTGTTTCTTGTAGATTAAAATACTCACAATGATTTGCGGCGGTTACTATTTCTTTGTAAAGTTTATTTGTACAGCTACAAACCGAATCCTGGCTTTAATATTTTAAACTTTTAAAGTATTTTACTGTTTTTAGCCAAATAAGTCTGGTGTTGTCGGTAATATTCTTGAAGATAATTTATGTTGGTAACTTTGTAGACCGATGATTTTAACTTACATGATCTTGATGAGCGAGAGTTCTACTTTTTATAAATACAAATTCACCGGCAATAGTTCTTCCTTTTTTGTTGTTAGGTAAGAATGTCTGGTAAAGAGAGGCAAGATGGAGAATCTAATTGAATTGAATTGACTATGAGTATGAAGAAACTTTTTATTAAATTGTCTACACAGCAAAATAGGAAAATCAGTTTAACAAAAATAGCAACCCTGTATTATAACTTCCATTTTAAAATTCGTTTCAGACTAAATTTGAGCGCAAACGACAGCTTCGGTGATCAGGGAAATGCAAATGACAATGCAGGCAATTTTCGGGATAGTGGTGATGCGTCAGTACGGCGAAAAAGCAGACCTGTGACCCAGCATAGCAACACTTGTGGACGGGGACGGAATATTTCAAATAGTCGAACAGAGAGCAGGCACCAATATATAGAGGCTGGCCTGGAACTTACCCATCCCAGCACTAACAGTGGTTCCAGGTCTAGGCGAGAAATAAGAGCAACAGGTGAGAGGTGATGATGATAATGATGATGATAAAATAATAATAATAATAATAATAATAATAACAATAATAATAATAACAATAAAAATGAAAATAAAATAATACAGGAATTTATACAATGAATAGTAAATATATAACTGTTGGCGATCAACAAGAGACAAGATGAAACAAACTTCAGGCAAAACAAACAGTAAAATTGCACAGTTCAGAAAAATTTAGTTGGGGAACAAATTTTCGTTAAAAGCCGACAAAAACCAGGATAACTAGAAGCATTTCGTATATTGCCGGGAAGGCTATTACAAAGCCTAGGTGAAGCATTTGAAAAGGCCCTATCACCAGATTTCTTATTAGACCTAGGTATATGAAGGCAAAAGGAAATAGAATACCGTAGGTATTGGTGTCTAAAAATAAATGAACAAATGTAAGCAGATAAGAAAGTATAATACATACTCCAAGTATTGAAATACACGCCATCGTGTTGGTATTCAATATTTCGACATTAATTATGTCATCATAATGACATAATTAATGTCTGAGATTAATCAGTGGACCTTTCGGTTTTTGGAAAATGTAAGCAGGGTTTACTGTTTTTTAAGTGAATAAAATGTGATGCGAAAAAGAATAGACCTTTCCGCTAAGCCCAGCCCCTTAGATATTGTTGCTCAGGTCCCACAAGGCGACAGCGTTTAAACATAGGCGAACACGCGTGCGTATTCCTAGCGCTGTTCTGATTAGTCAGTTGTTAAGCTTGATTGACACTCCGGAAAGGTCTATTGTCTGTCCAATCGGCTACTAAAGAAGTTGCCCAAGGTCTTACGAGTAGAGTGTGATTGTTCAGCGAAGCTAATCGTCTATGATACTAGATGCTCCATAACCAAATGTCCTTATGACGCTTAAAGTGCGGAGTTGGTTTTGGTTGACAAAAAATAAAATTAATTGACATTACAATGAATTTTTGGTAATTTTAAAGGCTGACTTCCACTGCGTCAGCCAGCAGGTGACGAAGACCTTTGCACATAAATATATAAAATGGTTAAAATTGTATGTTATCTATTATATTTATTGTTACTGTATTAGGCATAACTCAGTTTCATGTATAACCGATGTGAATTTGTCTTCCAGGTTATAAACGGTTAGAAGAGCTTCTTAGTAAAGACAAGGCTGAGGCACTAATACAGTTGTCATCTACATATTTTGGTTTTGAAAAATTACTTAACGAGCCCGAAATACGCCGAGATCTTCGCACATTGATATGTCGCGTACTTATTCATGCTTGTCAATGTACTACGTCTACAGTTTCCTTAAATGCCCTCTTAAGTAAAGTTCAAAATTCTATGTTTATTAAGTATCATATGCATCAGCATATTATGGCACTGAAAGATGAAAGAAGTCCTAGAGTAAGACACGAAGTAGAAATCCAAGACATCATCACTGTCATTAGAATTCTTGTCGAACGTCTCCCGAGTGCAACAGGTGAGGTGAAAGCATCCCTTATGTTGTTAGAATTAACTATGGAAGAATTATATGAAGTAGGGTTGATCTACGATAGGAACATTCGATCACGTTTTGACGAATTAAAAGAGTTTGTAAAAGAAGTGGAAAAAACTCAAGGTGAAAAGGTCAAACCTGCTACAAGAAGAAAGATTAATAACATAGATGACGACATCCCACCACCAAATAATTTCCGGGACATTCCGATATTTCCGACTTTGGAGGATCTGACCATGGACAAAATTCCATTCTTACGAAAGAATAAATTAGATGGAAGTTATGATAATGCGGATCATTATCTAGACGTTCAGTTTCGTTTGCTTCGAGAAGACATGATAAGACCGCTCCGTGAAGGCATCATAGAGTACCTACAGCACAAACACGATAGGCATAGACGAATAACTGACATACGCGTATATAATGACGTCACTGTTGAGTACCCGATATGTTCACATGATTGTATAATATACAAAGTTCACTTCGATGTCTCTCGGCTAAAAGGAGTTCGTTGGCAGTCAACAAAGCGCCTTATATATGGGTCACTGGTATGTTTATCTAAAGATGATTTCCAGACGGTCTACTTTGCTACTGTGGCGAATAGTAAACCAAGAGATCTTGAGAATGGGTTCTTAGACTTAAAGTTTGAAATTCAAGGACAGGTAGAAAACACAAGAAACGAAAAGTTTACCATGGTTGAAACATCTTCCTTCTTTGAGGCTTACCGTCACGTGCTTCTGAGTCTTCAGATGATTACAGAACAGAATATGCCTATGAAAAAATATATAATTGAGGGCAGACATGAAGTCAATGCTCCATATTACCTACGTTACAACAGGAATATGACATATGATCTTGGACCGTTAATTGATGAAGATACTCGGAAACCTATGCTTGTCAAGATAGCAAGTAATACGTGGCCATCCCCTTCTTCTCTTCAACTAGATGATTCTCAGTTTAACGCATTAAAAACTGCATTGACCAAAGAGTTTGCAGTCATCCAAGGACCTCCTGGAACTGGAAAAACCTACGTGGGTTTGAAAATAGTACATGCGTTACTTCATAATAGAAAATACAGGAAAACTGTCCATGATGAGATAAATGAGAGTCCTATATTCATTATCTCCTATACGAATCATGCTTTAGACCAGTTTCTTGAAGGTATCCATTCTTTTTATCCTGATGGTATTGTGCGTGTTGGTGGGAGAAGTAGTAGCGAGACTTTGAAGAAATTTAACTTAAATAACCTCCGGCAGGAATCACGGGAGCGAAAAGAAGTACCAAGACATATACGCGTCAAGAAGAGATTTCTTTTTCAAAAGATAGATGCCCTACGGTATAATATGGAAAATTCCATAGAAAATATAAAACTAACAACAACCGGAGTCATCCATACACGCTTTCTTCGGAAATGGATGCGAAACGGGCATTATAAATCTTTCACGGAATGTAGAGAAAATCAGTCAATGATATCTTGGTTAAGTTTGGATGAAGTTAATATGAACCTAGACATAGATACACGTTTCAGTGTTATTGAAATCAATGATAAAGAGGAAAATGAAGAAGGGGAACAACTAGAAGTGGCCGAGGAATCGGATTTGATTGCAGAGAAACGAGTACTTGATATCGATGATGCAGATGAAGAGGATGCGATGCGAACAACGAGAAAAATTAGGAACACGGTTAGAAAACAACTTGCATTTGATCCGGACCAAATGGAGAGATTTAAAGACGAGGACAGTTTTCAATTGAGTAAAAGAGATAGACAAAAAAGAATGCGAACCTTTAAATTGGAGCTCCAAAAAACAGATAAAATGAGCTATGTTGAAGCTGCTAGAGTACAAAACGTATGGAGGCTACAACGTAATGATCGTTGGCGTCTATATCGATTTTGGATATCCCAGTATTGTGATCACGAACGTCATTTACTTTACAAAACGCAAGAAGACTACAGTACATTAGGAAAACAACTTCAGGAAATCAGATTAGAAGAGGATATCCTTTTAATCCGAAATGAAAAAGTGATTGGTATGACAACAACTGGGGCAGCAAGATGCCGAAATATGATTAAGAATATCAAGCCAAAGATTGTCATTGTCGAAGAAGCAGCAGAAGTACTCGAGGCTCACATAGTGTCGAGTTTGACTGAAGGCTGTGAACATCTAATACTAATTGGTGATCATCAGCAACTTAGACCAAATCCGACTGTATACGATCTTGCCAAACGGTATAATTTGGAAATTTCCCTTTTTGAAAGAATGGTGAAAAATGGCATGCACTGCGAGAGGCTGAACACTCAGCATAGAATGCGACCAGAGATATCATCTCTTATGAAGAACCATTTCTACAAAGGTCTTCAAGATGCTCCTATTGTACACAGTTATGAAAAAGTCAAAGGAGTCGCTAGCAATATGCTCTTTATAGATCATGACCACAAAGAAGCATCTGTCAAGGACACGCTGAGTAAATCGAATGTATACGAAGCAGAGTTCCTAGTAAGCTTGTGTAAATACATGATTCAGCAAGGCTACAACCCATCAGAAATTACGATACTTACAACATACACGGGTCAACTTCTTCACTTCAAGAAAAATATGAAATCTGAGTTCTTTAAAGGAGTTCGCGTTTGCTCAGTTGACAATTTTCAAGGCGAGGAAAATGAAATCATTCTTCTTTCTCTAGTAAGAAGCAATGACGAGGGAAGGATTGGGTTTTTAAAAGAAAAGAATAGAATGTGTGTGGCACTTTCAAGAGCAAAGAAAGGACTATTTTGCATCGGTAATATGAAGCTTCTAACTCGAGACGATCATTGGAGAAAAATTGTAACAGAACTTCGTCAGAAAAATCTACTAAGCAAAACCATTCGATTGTGTTGTCAAAACCACCCAGGTAGAGCAGTAGACGTACAAGAGCCGCTCGATTTTATGAAATGTCCTGAGGGTGGCTGCAATGAACGCTGCGTTTATAGACTTAAATGCGGCCACGTTTGTAAGTTGTCATGTCACCCATACGATCCTGAACACAAGAATATCAAATGTTCGAGACCATGCGTAAAACAATTGCCATGTGGACATGCTTGTAAAGAAGAATGTAGCCAACCATGCACCAGTACGTGCAGAGAGATTGTTTCTAAGCTGTGGCCTTGTGGACATAAGGGTGAATATCAGTGTCACGTGGATGATCCTTTGTCCTGTTCAAATCCATGCGGTGTCATTTTGAAATGTGGCCACCTATGTCAAGGAACCTGTGGAGGTTGTACAAATGGCCGCTTGCATCAACAGTGTCGTTCGAAGTGTAATAGAACTTTAGTTTGTGGTCATGGATGTCTTGAACCGTGTACACGCAACTGCCCACCATGCAGTAAATCGTGTGAGAACCGCTGCGTTCACAACAAGTGTCCAAATAAATGTGGGGAGAAATGTACACCTTGTACAATGCCATGCGAGTGGCGATGTCAGCATAAACAATGTACCATGCAGTGTGGCCAACTATGTAACCGACGACGATGTGACAAACCTTGCAAAAATACTCTTTCTTGTGGTCATCAATGTGCTGGTCTTTGTGGTGAGCTGTGCCCAAGGAAATGCTTGATTTGCGATAATTTCGAATTGACAACAATAATGTTTGGAAGTGAAGATAAACCAAACGCAAGATTTATTCAATTAGAAGACTGTGGACATGTGATAGAATCAACGGCATTGGATGTTTGGATGGATCTGGAAGATGACGGAAATACAAATGTGCAGTCAAAAGATTGTCCAATATGTAAAACACCAATTAGAAGGAATCTACGATATGGTAATATAATAAAAGAGCTGCAGATGGACATAGAGTGTATGAAATCCAAGATAATTGGAGATGAGTATAAAATACGTCATGATAAAATTCGTTTACAAAGAGAAATTCAACGTTTGTCTGATAAAGAGTGCGGAACATTTCTTCTCACTGAACTAAATGCATTATTGACAGCAGAGCAGGTTTCTAATATGGAAAACAAATTGCAGTTTGTTTCAAAAGTAGACGAGATTAATAAGGCAGGGGATGGAAAAATTAATGCAAGATATGCAGATATTGAAAAACGTATTAAGAAGGAACTGGATATTTGTAAGAAATTGATTCTCATGCCAAGGTATCAGTTTAGTGAACAGATGCTACATGATATAGCGTCAGAGCTGCAACGTCTTTCATTCTATATGGAACTCTACGTGCTGAAAAGTGAACTACGTAATAAAAGCATTATCTCAGAAACACTGGCAGATTACGTGCGCATTGTAAAGAAACATGTTACTTCAATCGGTCCTCTCAAAGAAAAAGACGTAAAAACCACAATATTTTGCTTGAAAATAATCAGTCGAGAATGCGGCGTTGTCCCGTGCATATCAGATAAAGAAAGAGTGCAGATTGTATAGGCTATAGGTCTATCCCAAGGTCACTGTTTTAATTCAAGTAAATTGGTGACTGGTTGGCCCAGCGTTGGAGACTCCAACCGTATCGCGTCGGGACGGTTCTGCATTTCAAAGTGATTTTGGATATAACACGCATTTTGTAGAAACATATGTGTGATCATAAATTTGCCTTTAGCACAAATCTATGCGTGATAACGAATGATCACGAATTCAGGGCAAAATGTATAAAATTAGAATAAATTGTTTTTTTCACTGTTCCCTGGTTTTATTAAAAATACAAAAAAAACGGTCATGCAGTGACTGAAACACGCACAGTATTTACGTGAATACATTTACTGAAAAATTATCAGTATGCTTTTTTTGTAAGGCATGAGATGTTTGTGTATGTAGCTCGGGAACTTAAATTAAAAATACATTGAAACTCAAATTTTACTTGACTTTCTTAAAAATATTTTGTTTATGTACCCGGTATTGTCCACAAACACTCCCTGAAATCGTTTGAAAAATGCTCAGATCGTCAGAGCGCCAGGGGTTACGCCACTGCACCCCAACCTAAGCTTCGCCCCCTCAACCCCAGCCAACTGGGGGGGGGGGGGTCACGCATTTCAAATCTTTCAGGTATATGGGAGAGTAAATGTCCAGAATGTGGATCTGTTATTGGAGGAACACACCACCGCTTTTGTAGCGACGACATCAAGTGAAATGGACGGTGCGACATTGCTGCCTGGTCGGAGCAGTCTAATCTAGCAAACTACGGGAACTTATTTTAGACATCGGATATTAACAAATACATTTCACCAATTCAAAAAAAAAATACATTTCTTTACGCTCTATTGGGTCGTCCTAAAAGTGTCCTCGTCTTTTTCGAAAGCTTTCTGTATCAAACACGTAGTGCTAATTCAAAATTTAAATTACATTGAATTAACATAGGCCTAACGATAAATCAGGTCTTCATATTGTTTCAGTAGTGGTCAGTGTGAGTATTTAAAAAATATTTCGGTATAAATCCTTGGTATTCGGCAGAAAAAATATTTAAAATACAAACGTACACAAGTTATGGCTTACTTGACCGGTACATTCGTTTGACCACTGTGATTTTATGATTCATACTTTGTTGTTTGGCCTATATTATTCTACTATATAAGTCATGCATCCAATGACTTTAGGATTTACTTTTTGGTAGGTGGCTGTATGGAAGCATTTATACAATAAGTTAGTAACAAATGTACTACTGATATGTCATCTATCAAATAATATTGTATTAAAAAAATATAAAATAGTATGATTTAAGGTAATTTAATACTGGTAAGAGGTTTGTTGGACAGTTCATTCTTTATGTGTACTGTCTACTTTTCTTTGATTTTATTATTTATTATGTAGGCCTACACACAATATTCACTACCCAATGAAAATCAGTTACTCTCTTTGGTGATGTAATAGGGCCTATACATATTTTTAATTTATTATTTGAACTTACTTCTATTGGCTTTGCAATAATTTGCATATTATATTTTATTTATACTAAGTTAACATAGTAATGCTTGTATATAATGTTTTATTTAATAACATTTTCAGATGATTGTATTTTGATTTGTAGTTAAGATGTTTTTATGTAGCAATATTAGTCTCTCTCTTATTAGGTATAGTAACAATCTGTTATAAAAATGATTAAGTATGACTTAGTTTAGGAAATACGATTTGTCTTTTTATTTGAATCATTTAAAAACAAGCTATATTATATTTCTTATAAGCGATTGCATGGTTATAGTTTGATATAAATTAATCAATCATTATATAGCGCCAATATCAGTGCCAGATAAAATGTTCAGTGGTGATATATTGTTCTTGTTTTAGAAACAATTAGATTAGGCCTATTGTACGTATTATTTGAGTACTTTAGTACTGTACTTTATGCTGCGACTAGCGCATCCGTGAAGATGGTGATGACGCGTTCGCGTGAAACGCGTTCAATGCTCAAGGCTGTTTCTCTTTGCAAGTGGAAATGGCGCCGCGAGCTCTCTGAGATGGATACGTTGGCCTCACAAGATGCCATTGTTAAGTACACGAACGTTTTAGGTCATCGTCCTTCATCAGGTATACGTACAGACATAAATAAATACGAGTATAAATAAATATGACACGGACGTAAGATGAGTGACTATAGAAACATATGATCGTAATAAAACATAAGATTGGGTAGCGTGGATATGAATGATTAAACAATACCTTAAGGGCGTAGTTGATAATAATAAACTAACCAATCAGAGTGAGTGGTACTGTAAGATATAGAAGTATATGGTTAAAAATAAACCAAGATTATAACAACCGAGTTCAGGCAAAATATGTCATAAATAACTATATAATATAACATTATATAATAAACCGGTTTGTTATTATAATATTATATGGTTGTGGAACATGTGCCGTTATGTTATTGCATGCTGTAAGGATGAAATATTTAATAATCTTAGACCTTTATTTACAAATAGCAATGACATTTAAGATAAACAATACTTTAGAATGATGTTCTACGTTTTTTTTTAATTAGCCTTACTTTAGCCATAACTGAAATTGGGGTTAAGGTAATGGTTATTGTGTTAGGTCTACGTCTATTTCACATCTCCGTCATACATTTCTTTAAGCCCATTTTTCATGAAATCGCTACAGTGTTTTTCACTGCAATCGTTACACTGCGTATAGCTGCTCCTGCGTATAGCTGCTCTGACTCAATCGGTAAGTGTCGACGATAGTGTAGCAATTTAATGGAAACCAGGCTCATATGCCCAAACATGATATGATCACGCGATGCGAATTTGAACAGATAAGTGGAGTATAATATTGTATAGGCCTATATCAAATGTATTGTGATATTGAAAGGCTAAACAAATAAAGAATGAATGAATGAATTGATTAATAAATGCTTGCAGTACACCATTTTAGATTGTTTTGAATTGAACTGTTGTTTTTGTTGAGTGAAGTCGATAATGATCATCCGGAGTAATTACAATATAGGCCTAAATTAAAGCCCAGTGCATATTGCTTCAGCCGTCCAATTGTGACAAATAGCCTTCCGCGCTCTGTGAGCACTTGTCTGACTCGACGACCGTATACCGGTTGGTGGCAGATCGCAGTTTGCGGAAGGATTAATACGATTTTACTGGCCATTTAATTTAAAAGAAAACGGTCAAATACAAAAAACCGTAAAATAGAAAACCCCCTACCGAAAAAAAAAAACAAACAAACAAACAAAAAACGATACATCAATACAGTTATAGGCCTATTATAATGGTTTCACATAATAATAATAATAATAATAATAATAATAATAATAATAATAATAATAATAATAATAATAATAAGTAATAATAATAATAATAATAATAATAATAATAACAACAAACAACAAGGCCTATTATAATGGCCTAATAATAATAATTAATAATAGGGCTGTATCATTCGAAACTATTTCTACACCTCCTGTTATACTCCTACTTTTTGAGTCATTAGGAGGTCGGATTTACCAGAACAATAGTATACTTTGATTTATTTAGCGCTTTGACTAGCTCGTACAGTAACTTTCTTCTCTCCTAGTCTCTTCGTGTCTGAGCTACCCGGTAAACCGGTAACAGCTACTCTCGTCTGTCCACAACAGTAAACATAATATTTGTTTAGTAACGTGATTGTCATTTTAAACTAAATCTTATTGCGAATAATGCTGTTCATACTGTACATACACGAACACACGAACTAATAACGCACATGAGCATAAACATAAAAGCCCATACACATACTTGGTAAATCATTAACTGTATATCAATACATACAAACACACACATTAAAACTTTATACACCTACACATAAACACCTAAACATGTACACACATAACGTATAGGTGTATAGTTGTCTCAGCGTACACATAGGCTACACATATCATATTTAATACACGCACCAGTCCTGAGACACACAGAGCGCCTATACATACAAAATATTGACGCATAAACAATGTTTACTGTTTTAATGCCTTTGCATATACTTCAAGATTCAAAATAACTTTACTGCAATCTTAAGGAAAATTTGAAATATACAGAATAGGCCTAATTTAACACGTGCCTCATTAGAACTTGATAACTCGTTTATTCCTTTGAACTAACTGAGCAACTTATTCGATTAGGCCTAAATATTTAAATCCCTCACCCCTATATTTTACCACAGCCCCTATCCCTCCAAATCAGACGACAACAAGACAATCACACACCAATTTTGTTTTTAAACAGTATGCTCAATTATAAAGGATCCATGCAACTTCACATAAAAAACCCTAAACCAAATATTAGAGTTAAAATACAAATCAAGAAAATTATTTATTAAATTATATTTAGATTTACTATCTCAGTAACAAGAAATCAGAATGTAATTCTTATATAGTATAACATAGTGTTGGTCAGCCATTTTCTGTAATTTCCCAGCATTACAACATTATTCGGATCGATGACTATATTAAGTCAAGCGTTTTCTGGGATTTCCCAGAGATCACGTGGTCTCACCATTCGAGATATTTAGTTAATGTTTAACTCATATACGTAAATGGATCAATATGATTGTATTTTACGATGATAGGAGTCGATTTCAATATTAACAACGAGTCCACACGCACGTCTTTACATGGCGTACTCCAGTTTATTGGTAAGATTCAATTCACTTTGATGCTAGGCGAATTTACTAATAGATAGGATTTAAGCCCTAGCGAGGCTTACAGTAGTACAGTACTGTATTATACATGTATCACTTCCGGGTCCGTTTATTTTATTTAAATTAATTTTGATAAGGTCTCCTTGCAAGTTTTGATCAGCTCAGTTGATTACTTTTTAAAATATCTGGTCTGGGACGTTTTCCTTTGAATGGTCTTATCCACACCCTACACCAGATGGTCACCAAAATTTAACACCGTGGCTAGAGATACTAGAGATACGGGACCGTATTTCTACTTCAATTTGCTAAAGGTACGGTAAATGGCATTACGGAACCACCTAATAATGAAGTGCCAGAATGTGCGTGACGTCATTTTTCAAGACTGGCATTGCAGATCACCCGCGATGAGCAGTGAAACGAGAACGGATGTAGGCCTACAATACTGGGAAATTAGAACATCAAAAAGTACAATATTGTTTGACTTAGTACTGTCATCGATAAATAGGAGTATGGTTCCACTTAGTAAAGAGTTTCATTTAACTAGGCCTATGTATAACCATTATCAAACAAGGACTGATTCCGTCTGAACTTCATAATCCCTACATCCCAAGTTTTAGTCCAAGAAGCTCGAAATAATAGAACTGTCGCGCCAAAATTGGTCCGGGCCAAAAATGGTCCGGCGGACAGATTTTGGCCGCTAAAGTCGGTCCGCCGGACTACTTTTGGCCGCTAAAATCGGTCCACCGGGTCGATTTTAGCCGCTAAAATCGGTCCCCCTTGGATAAAATTGGTCCGCCGGCTGCGATTTTTTCCCGTACGAAACATTTGCATGAAACTTCACTCGGGCCATCTCGGATCGACACGAGTCAGGCCGAAAATGGCACTCTCAGACATGAGTTGGCTTGGTGTGGGCCTATTTTTAAATGTTTTATGGTCTGACTGCCCGACGAGCTCTGTCCGGCGAGGGGCTTGACCTGTCCGGTGGGGGAACTTAATCCCCTGCCCCCCATTGGTCCTTACATCCACACCCTACTCCGGACCGTCACCAAAAGTTAATCATTTCTTCATTGGGTTATAACTAACACTTCCTGGTATTTTCAATTATGTCTGTGCCGCCGTTTTTGATATAAAAAAACACATGTAAACACCAAAACGTGACACACACACACACACACACACACACACACACACACCCACACATCCAAACTTACACGACTGAAAAACTCCTGGAGGAGATAATAATCAATTTTATTAAATACAGTACGGTATATACTAATAGATATATGAATGGTGACAGTCAGTGGTCGATCACAATATATATCATGAGTTAATTGTTCCTTATGGGTCAGATTCCTGTAAGGTGCAAATTAGACACTTAGTCACGCCCCTTGTGGATATTGCTAAGGTAAGGTCCCACTTAACGACAGACAGCTGAGCTGTCAAACAGAGGGACTTGAGCTCGTAGGCCGAGGCTGGGGAATGATTTGAGGATGTGTTCACCTTCCAAATGAATTTTTTTAAATGAATAGGAACCTCTGGATGGCCAGAAATGCCACTCGAGACTCAGACTGAGACAGACATGTGTTGGCTTGGCGTGGG